AGGGAGGGCCTCTGCTTCCAGGCCCATGCTGTGGGCGGGTTGTGGCTCCTTGTCACCCAGGCCTCTTCGTCAGGTCACCTCCTGGCAGGGCAAGCGGCTTCTCCCGAGGTAGGGATCACCTGAGACAGAGGTTGCGGTCTTTTTATCATCTGTTACCTCAACCACCTTCCATTTGTTAGAAATAAGCTGCAGGCCCAGCCTGCGCTCAGAAGGAGGGGATGACACATGCACATGAAGGAGGAGGAAGGGGACTGCCCTCTTGGAGTGTGACTTGGAGCAGGCAAGGCCAAACTGTATGCTGTGTGGGTGGGTGCACCCGTGGGGACACGGGGCTCAGAATGCAGAGGAGGCACCCAGCCTTCCCACAGGCCGCCTGCACAGTGAGCTCAGTGACACCTGTTCCTTCTGATGTTTCATAGTTAATTTCACGTTATGTGCATATTTGTTTTTTTTTCTCTTAGGTTTGGTTTTATGTTTGATATCATGGAAGTTATAGAAGGATGCGTTTTAGGGTCAGTTGTTTTGGGCTATTTGTTGCCCTCCTCCAGAGTGGGTACTCCGATGGCCTGGTGCTTGTTAATTTTCGCATACACCTCCCTGTCTCTCAGTGGCACAAGTCTCTTATCCGCTCGCTTTCCATGTGGGAGGTGAGGATGTGGCCCCTGCCCTCCCTGTGCCCCTCCTGGCCCCCTAGACCTCCTCTGGTCACCCTCTCCAGCCTCTCCTGATTCTGGTCTGAGATCACCGGCCAACACTCTCTAACTCTGCTCATATGTGTGCCTTCGGTAAAGCACGGTGACGCCTCTCCTGCAGAACCTCCTGTTTCTCCTGGTTGGTGACCTGGTCTGTTCATCTGCTCAGTCTCTGCGTATTTCTCACTAATTCATCTCCACGTTCTGGCAGCTCTCCAACCTTTTCTCAGGACCTTCAGACACATTCGACTTTTTGTCAGTTTTGTCTTCTTGGAGAAATGTCTCCCAGGGCCTCTGACCTGCTCCAGCCTGGCACTCAGCTGGCATCCAAGGACCACCAGGCCCTGTCCCCCTGGGCCCCATGCCCCTGTCCACTGTTCCCTGGGGCCTCCCTCCTGCCGGGTCTCCCTCCCTCCATCCATCCCAGAGCTCCCTCCTTCTTGAATCACTCCTTCATTCTGCTGACACAGCTTCCTGTGGCTTCGTGTGAAAAGTGCAGAGGAGGCAAATCCCTGAGAGTCCTGCACATCTGAAATTGTGCTCACTTTGCCTTCACATTTAACTGATACCCCAGCTGGTCTGGGAAGGATTTCCCTCCAGAATTTTGAGACCTTTCTTCCATGGCCCTGCTGGCTTCCAGCATTGCTGTCAGCTGGTCCAGTTACCCGAGTTCTGATTCATTGTGTTTGACGTCCCCCTCCCTCCCTTTTACTCCCCTCCGTCCCTCACTGGCTCTGGAAGCCCCATGGCTCCTTTCCTTTCCCCTCAGTGCTCTGAAATTTCGCAATACTGTACCTTAGTGTGAGTCTTTCCATCCACTCTGCTGACAGGGGGCCCTCGATCTAGATACTTAGGTCCTTCAGTTCTGGAAAAAAAATTTTTTTAAGATTTATTTATTCATGATAGACAGACAGGGCGGGGGGTAGAGACACAGGCAGAGGGAAAAGCAGGCTCCATGCCGGGAGCCCGATGTGGGACTCAATCCCGGGACCCCAGGATCACGCCCTGGGCCAAAGGCAGGCGCCATACCGCTGAGCCACTCAGGGATCCCCTCTGGAAAAATTTTTAAATGACTTCTTTAATGATTACTTCTCTCCTCTTCCTTGTTTCTTCCAATTCTCTTTCTGAAACTATTATTATTTGAATTAGTAGATGGGTTCAGTGATTTTCTCATATTTCCATGCCTGCCTTTTGGGAGGCCCTCCGTTGACCACCCCCCCAGCCCTTCCAGAAAGGCCCCCTTGTGCAGCATTGCCTCACGTCTCTCGGGGTCCCCACGAGCTGCTCCTTGCCAACAGTCTGCATGGGATCAAAAGGACTGTTTCTTGGTTTCACTGCCTTGGTCTGTGTCTTTCACAGTAGAGACCCTCAGGTTTCTGGGGACACTTGCTTGTCTGCCATGGGGAAGGGTCTGAGGAGCATGTGTGTTTAATTTGCCATCAAGTGTCACATGGTTGCCTGTATAATTTCTTTCATAATATTAAAAAGTGAAAAAAAATAGTCCACACCCTAATAATAAATTAATACTAAAAAAAAGACACTTTTCCTCCTTGTCCCTTGAAAAGAACATGGTTCTCCAAAAAATTCTCTGTGGCAAAAAGTAGCATGACACGAATATATGGATTTGTAACCAGGGTAAACTGCTGTAAAACGGTGAAAAGGTTTGGAAACTGCTTCTGCCCACCCTCCTGGCCCTCAGTCCCCGGGTTCCCAGGCCTGCAGAGGTTCCTGAATGCCTGCCTGCTGGGCTGCATGCGGGGCAGTGGGTGATTTCGTGCCCCCCAGAGAAGACTGCACTCACGTGTGACAAGCCATGAGTGAATGGCATCCTTGAGGCCTGCTTCAACCCCAGCACACACTGTTAGCACCTGTAGGGCTGTATGTGTGAATGAAAAAGAAACCCATGAGAATTTAAAGGGAATCTGGAGAAAAATAAAACAGTAAGTGGAACATCAAGGTGACGACAAGACAGCTGCCTTCTGCTGATACCCTCTCAGAGCTCTGTTTCTTCCTCTTGGAGGCCACTCCTGCATGAGCAGGAGACCCAGGTCCGGAGGGCTGCCGAGCAGCTAGCAACACTGGGTTAAGCCTTGGGTTTGCAAGGAGAGGGAGACCATGAAGACCCATGTGCATGGCAATGCCAGTAACATCGGCAGAAGACAGGCTGCAAATTAAATCCAGACCCCACAGTCGGTATCCTGGGCTCTTCATTGCACATCCTCGGGCCTCTCAGACCTTCACTCTTGTAGGCGGCTGCTGGAAGAGTCTGTCAGACATTCAGCGCCTTGTGTCCCTTCTGCATCCAAGGATTCAGCCCTTCGGTACCTTCCTTCAGCCCTGCATCAAAGAGCACTACAGCCCAGACTTGTGGATGGCTCATCACTCCTCGGTTGGCACTCCGCCCCTGAATTTGTAATCTCTCCCTCTGATCTTTCAGTAGCTGTTTCTCAGACTGACAACACCTGCCCCTCGACGATGACCACCGCCAGCACTGGGATGGTGCTGCTGGTGGGCGACGCCCTCCCATTGGCAGATCAGGAAGCTGGGGTCCACAGTTTGGTCACTTGCCTGTAGCTTGGAGCCACTTGAGGTGGAGCTGGAGCCAGAGGCCACAGGCTCACATCCCCTCTGCCCTGTGCCCTAGCCTCGCTGTCCTCAGACCCGACTTGAAACTTCAGGACCATCTGGTGACCTTGACTCTGTACAAGTGCACAACATTTGTGTATGCATTGCGGGCTTGCAGCGCGGCGCTGTTTTTAAGCATGCCCCACATGCAGTCTGTCACTGGGTCCGGCTGCTCCACAGACTCCGAATTCTACCACCCTCCTGGAAGACTTCCCCACTGCCAGCCCAGCTCAGGCCCTAGCTCAGGGCCTGCCACCATGATAACTGTCGAGCAGCATGCAGGAGGGGGTACGCCTGGGCAGGAGCAGGGCATGCTCTGTCTTGGGCATCCAAGTGGGCACACCTGCCCGTCCCAGTCCTGCGTGGCCTGATGATCAGACACAGAAGGAGAAGGCAGGAACCAGAGTGCCTGCAGGAGAGGGCAGGTGGGGCAGACAAGAGGAGACAGGCGGGGCATCTTACAGCAGAACTCTGGAGGGGACGCCTGTTCTCCCCTGGAGTTCTGGGCTCACCTGGCCTTGTGCACACAGCTTTGCAAGGCTAATGCACCCACGTCTGGTGTGATACAGGCCTCAGGCTGGGGTTGGACAGCCCACCACCGACGTGCTCCCTGGACTCTGCTCGGGCTGGGCTCCGGTGGTAATGGAGGCTACCCCTGCACCTCCCTCCTGACACCTTCTGGCTTCTTCCCACCTGGCAATCTCACCTCCACACTCTAGCTGTTATAGAATCCTGCAGAGTCCCTGGTGTGTGGTTCAGGTGGATCCTGTGAGCGAACATGCTGAGGAAGGACACACCTTCACCAGCCCTGCCACCCCAAGTATAACCAGGCCCACTGCCACACGCCCGCTGAGCCCCAGCCTTTCATAAGGATGTTTCCTCTGCCCGAACACCCTTCCTCCTGGCCTGCCTGGAGACCAGTCTCTGACTAACCTGCCCACATTTGGGTTAAGGTCACTGCCCTTTCTTTCCAGTTAGAGAAGTGCCTCATCCACCTACTTGTGCAAATGTGTGCATACTCACCGGCCCTCTCCCAAGCTGTGGGCCGGGGCCATGTCCTATCGGTCTTTGTATATCAGCACTTGGCACAGAGCCTGGCACACAGTGGGCTTGGAGTGTGGGGATGAGAGGAGGCAGGGAAAGGATGGGCACAATTGGCCCCAGGCAGAGGGGACAGGGCAGCAGCAGTCCAGCTGGCTCCTCGTACAGTAGGGAACCCATCCAGCTCAGAAGGGAGACCATCCCTCTGCAGAGAGGCCAGCACCCCCTGGAAAGAGCTCCAAGAGAGCAACACTGCTGCCACCTCTATGCCCTGGGGACCACTTGGCCGTCGTATAGGAATGGTCAGGAGCCTGTGATTTCAGATCAGTCACATCCACAGACGCTCGGGCCATCACTGGGCAGGGAACATCTAAACTTTATTCCTGTATCATCTCATCCAAAGCTGTTTTTCTCACGCTCAAAGAGCATCTAGAGTATGCTGTGCCTCTGGGAGCAGCTGGCCACGTCTGGCTCCAGGGCCGCCTCAGGCTCAGGCCTGGCAGAGTCCTGACACCTTGGTCACCGGCACCTGCTGTCTACACTGCAGCAAAGACCTGTCTCCTTCTTTGTCTGGGTTCGCCTACCGCCTTCACCCCCGCAGGCCTTAGTTCCTGCGACTAAGTCCTGTCTCCCCCTCGGCAGGTACCACGACCAGCAGGACGTCACCAGCAACTTCCTGGGCGCCATGTGGCTCATCTCCATCACATTCCTGTCCATTGGTTACGGGGACATGGTGCCCCACACGTACTGCGGGAAGGGCGTCTGTCTGCTCACGGGCATCATGGTGAGTACCTGCCTTCGCCTGGCCCCCCGCCCTCCCTCTGATGCTGCGAGGAGTGGAGCCTTTGCGGAGGTGCCCAGGGGTCTGCCAGGCCAGGCGCCCGCACAGAGGAGGGCATATGCTGCTCACAGGCCTAGTTTCCTTCTCTAACACAGGAATACGTTCCGGTGCCAGATACGTAAGGGCCTCTTCAGGGCCCCCCAAGATGGGCCGGGCCATGACCCTGCACCCCCAACATGCACCCCCTGCCAGCGTTTGCTTGCCCCCAGGAAGCATCAGGGCTGGCAGTTAACCGTCCTCCTTTCTGCCCTGGGACCCCACAGATTTGGCACCATGTCTGAGAAGGTTTTGCTGGAGGTCACAGAGGGGGACCCCCAGGCCCTGTGCTCTCCCTTGGCTGTGGTGGGGCCAGAGGGCAGGGCTGGCAGCAGGGAGGGGCCACAGGCCCCAGTGCCCCAACTCCGCGCACTGGCCAGATGCCTGTGGGGCTGGGCCTTGCTGCTCGCCAGACAGTCCCCTGGAACCACTTTTCGGGAAAGGAACCTGAGGCTCAGAGGGGAGAGCGTGCTGTGAAGCCAGGGTGGCTGCTGTGGGGTGTGGGCATGCACAGCCCTGCACTCTGCTCCAGGTCCTGAGGACACCACAGCCCTCCCCGGGGGAGGCTCTTGCACCCATGCACGTGGGTGACCATTCTTTCCTTCTGGTGCCCCGCAGACTTTTCCCTCTGAAAGAGAATGATTCCTTCCTGCAGCAAAAAGGGCATTAAATCCTTTCCAGGAGTGGGGGGTGCCCCCCCACCATATCCCAGTGGCCCTTCTGGCACTGATCTTGGTGACAAAGAGGCTGAGTGCGAGTGTGGACCGCTCAGAACAGAGCAGGAGAACCAGCACAGTCATTTCCTACCTGGACATAGCCCTGGGCTCTTCTACCTGGAGCCCTCCCCCCTAAAGCTCCTCCCCATGGAGCCCTCCCCCTGAAGCCCTCTACCCGCCCCGTAGCCCCTCCCCCCTGCAGCCCTTCCCCCTGGAGTCCCTCCCCCTGCAGCCCCTCCCCTGCAGCCCTCTAACCCCTGCAGCCCTCCCCCCTGCCTCCCCTCTCCTGCAGCCCCTCCCCCTGCAGCCTCTACCCCCTGCAGCCCTCCCCTTGCACCCCCTTCCCCCCAGAGCCTGGTACAGGTGCATGGTAGCAAGCAGGCCGGGAGCAGCAGTTAAGCAGAAGGCTGAGCAGGGCCTGGGAAACCCTGGGCAAGTGAAGGCCTTAGAACACACACCTCCCTTCTGCAGTGGGAGTCTGTCTGGCTCCAGTCCAGCTGCCAACACACACTAGGCAATGATCCTTCCTTCGAGAGAGGAGTGAGATGCTGCAGAAGGCCAGCACCTCCCCATCCTAGAGGCTCCCGGGCCTGGGCTGTGCCTCAGGACCAATTCTTAGCCAGGCGAGCAAAGACCCCTGGGGGACCTGTTACCATAGATGCCCCCCACCCTCCGGCCCCTGCACATGGAGCAGTGCCCCATCCAGGAAGGCCCCAGATGGGCAGTGCCTAGGATCCTTCCCTCCCTAGCCTGCCCCTTATGGGGGGAGGGCTCTGCGGCACCTGCTGGGAGAGCTGTTCTCTAGAGGGAGGAGTGATGGGGGCAGGAGGGCAGGTGAGGAGGGGCCAACCCTCCCATATCAAAACCACTGCCCAGGCCCTTCCACGGTGCATGCGTAAATCTGTGTGCATCTTTGTAGGCGCTTCACCCCAGGATCACATCAGTGGCAGCCCTCAGGTCAGTCAGCTCTGGAAGAACCCTGCTGGCAATTTTCTAACAGATGTGACTTTTCTAGCTGAGTCATTCTTGTGAGGGTTTCTCTGGCAGCCACCCTCCTGCCCCTCCTCTGTCACCCTCTACTCTCCCCTGCTTCCTTCCCTTCCCCTCCCCTCCCCTCCCCTCCTCTCCCTTGCCTCCTGACCTACCCCTCAAGGTCAGTGCCCCCCACTACAGGTAGGGCTCCCCATGCCCCAACCCTGTGGTTGCCATGGACACCTGACACCCAGAGGGGCCAAGGGGGGAGGGGCTGTAAATAGTCTTAATCATTGTTTTCTCCTGGTAGTCCCAGAAACCATGTAATTATCAACCATTAAGCAGGGGGTGTAATTGTCTGAACAACATGCAGGTTATTGGGCCAGACCCAGTGCGTTAGGGGTTGGGCCACAGCAGCAGCTCTGTCTGTCCACTCCTTTCCCTAAAGACCAGGAGAGGGTCACAATCAGAGTCTCCAGAGCTAGAAGGGGCAGCGCCCGCAGGGCTTGAGAGCTTGGTGCCCCCAGGGCCAGGGTAGGAGCCCCATCTCAGGATGCTGGGCAGCACTGGCCCTGTGCTCCAAACCCTTCCTGAGTTTGGAGGTGAAAACAGATAAAAGCTGGGGACGCTGAGCTGGGCCTGGGGAGATGCTCTGCGACTGCAAAGGGAAGGTGAGGGAGAGGTGACCATGGCTCTGCCAGGAGGCTTAGCAGGACATCAGCTTGGGAAGAGGAGCTGCTCCCTGAAACACCGTTTGCTTTCACACTAGCGGTTACATGGAGTCTGCTGCAGGAGCAGAATCCAGCCTCCAGACCTCCCTCTTCCATTTGTCACCATCATTTATGCCTTATTTTATTTTATGCCTCTTTAGTTAAGAACACCTCATCCCTCCTGCCTTGGGATACTTGTTTTTCCAGATTCCAAGGTTTTCCCCACTGGAAAATGTTTCTGGAAATCAAGAAGAGGGAGGACCAAAGCTGTAGATGATTTGGCAGTTCCTTGGCCCCGGGCTGCTCCCTTCTCCTGCTCCCCATGGGCCCCTTCCTTGCAAGAAGGAGCTGGCCAGGGCAGACCAGGAGCACAGCAGGTGTCATCGGTGACTCAGGATGGGGCACATTTTAAGGCAAAAGTCTGAATCATGGCTTTGCTCTGTAGTGTGACCCCACGGGGGTCATGCCAGCAGCTGCTTGCCCCTGTCTGCTCCATGAGGTCTCCCTCACGTGCCCCTCTGCCCTGTCTCAGCTGTGACACAGCCCTGCCCACTGGTACCTCACCTGGAGAGAGGGCCACTGTCCCAGAGGAACACAGATGATCATCAGACCACCTATGGAAGCACACGGCAGGGGAACTGACTTCCTTAGTGCATCCTTCATCTCCACCAAAGAGTCAAAATTGACCATTACCTTCTTTAAAAAAAAAAAAAGATTTATTTATTGGGGCCCCTGGGGGGCTCAGTCAGTAAATTGTCTGCCTTCAGCTCAGGTCATGATCTCAGGGTCCTGGGATTGAGCCCCATGTTGGGCTCCCTGCTCAGGGGGGAGCCTGCTTCTCCCTCTCCCTCTGCCTCTCCCCCTGCTTATGCATGCTCTCACTATCTCTGTCTCTCTCTCAATTTATTTATTTATTTGAGACAGAGAGAGAGAGAGAAAATCTCAAGCAGACACCCCGCTGAGCACAGATCCCAGGACCTGAGCCAAAATTAAGAGGTGGGCCATTCAATGAACTGAGCTGCCCAAATGCCCCTTGACCATGACCTTCTGCCTCAAGTCTTGCCTGCTCCTCCCTCAACGCTGTCAGAGTCTTTCCCTCCTCCCTGGCTCCTCCCTGGCTGTTCAGGCTACAGCTGGAGTGTGTGCCCTGTCTGCTCTCTGTGCCCTCTTGTGTTCTCGATATGCGCCCCTTCTACTCCCAACCCACCCCCACCCCCGTCTCTCCTGCTTTCTCACATGCACACTGTACCAGCAGTCTGGACTGCAGCACGCTGCCCACTACTTTCTGACCCCATCTTCACAAGGTTGCTTCTTAATGGAAATGACCAAGTGAGGCTTTATTGTTGGCGACTTCCCTAATTACATCCAGATGATGGATTTTTCTAAAAGAAAATAAAGTTGAGAGTATTCAGTGCTATCTATTCAAGTTAGACTTAGTGGTTAAGAACCCAGCATCCTCCAGAGAAATATCCACAAGGGAGTCTTGGCATCTTTAAGTCAAAAGAAATTGAAAATGTAATCTAGTCCACCCTCCTGCCTCCATGTAGAAGTTTATCTTTATCTTATAAAATAGATGGTTCCTTAGCAAAAACACTGGCTTCTGATTAGAAGTTCCCTGCATTCAAACAGTGGGGCTGTGAGCCACGGCGAGAGCCAGTGACACTCTATCTGGACCCTGGCCATCCAAGATGGTGCATGAGTGACCTTTGGTGGGATCCCCAGTGTGATGAGTGGGGGACCCCCTCCTCTACTCCCCTCACACCCTCCCTTTCAGGGGTGACAGGAATGGAGCTCTCCGGGCCCTGGGGAGGTGATGGAGAACAGAGCCTGGGGATGGCCCCTGCGTCTCATGCCCCATTTTTAACACTGTGATATGTCCCTCTGTTTGGGCTTTGAGCCAAAGTACATTCAGAACTCCCTGTGAGGGAGAGGGGATCATACTAGGTCTGGTTGAGGGGAAATGGAACACACCTCTTCCCTCCAGGATAGCTTCTTTTAAGCTATTTTTTGCTTGAGAAGGCTTGATTGAATCAATGACAGCTATAGACCAAGGGTCCAACATTCCATACATATCCCTTGAAAATTGGGCACAGTCTTCTGCCAGTCACAGATGCCAAGAAAACACAGCCCCCCTCTGAACAAGAGGGGAAGGTGAGGTCAGAGAAGTTCACAGACTCAGTCCTTCCAGCTCGTGCTAGAGATGGAGTATACTGCAGTATAGATTGTGTGCCTTTGAAAACACCAATTTCTGTTTCTAACCCATTCTGTTAGACTGATGAGCCAAAGACATCACTGATGGAGCCCTTTAGTCCTGGGACCTAAAGTGCAAACCCAGGCTTTTGGCAACTGCAGTTACAGTTTGGCATCTAGAGTCTCAGACTATTCCTCTCTTCCGTGAGGGAGGGCAGGGCCATCCAGTCCAGTGTGCAGGGCAGAGCAAGGGCAGGGTGAAGGCAAGGCGAGGGTGAGGCAGGGGGAGGGCAAGAGCAGGGTGGGGGTGGGGCAGGGCAGAGGGAGACAGGAAGGAGGCAGGACAGGGTGAGGGCAGGGGCAGAGCAGGGCAAGGCAGGGGTGGGGCAGGGCGAGGCAGGGGCAGGGCAGGGTGAGGGCAGGGGCAGAGCAGGGTGAGGCAGGGGCGAGGCAGGGCAGGGTGAGGGCAGGGGCAGGGTGATGGCAGGGGCAGGGCAAGGTGAGGCAGGGGCAAGGCAGGGCAAGGTGAGGGCAGAGCAGGGTGAGGCAGGGCAGGGTGAGGGCTGGACTAACTTCTGCCCCAGCAGAGGGGTGAGCAGAGCACAGACCTCTGGGTCCCTGAGCTCACCAGCAGAAGGGAAGCAGGATGTGCAGGGCTGTGCAGGGTTCTGTTTGGGGGGAGGTGGGAACGTGTGGTGCTGCGCTCATTTCCCCGATGGTCAGGCTTGCAGCCAGCCCATGGAGAAGTTTCTGTGGGACCCGTGTGGGACCCCCGTATGCCCCACAGAATCAGGACGGGCCTCGGGGAAATGCTGGGGCTCTGCAGGCTCCCATAAGCTGTGGTCTAAGGTGGGAGCCTTGTGTCCCCAAGGTGTCTGCAGGGGGAGTCCCTGTAGGAGCTGAGGAGGAGCTGGCTCCTGGTGCTGAGTCACAGCCCAGACTTCTGGGTACAAAGACCCAGTGTGGAACAAGTGCTGTCCCAGAGCTCATGCCCCCCGTGTTCCCCTGGGGTGCAAGTCAGGGTGGACTGTGCCTCGGTTAGATAATTCCAGGAAAACTCTGCGTGGCAGGAGCTGTGTCTGCCCTGCTCTGGTGCCACCGAGCTCTGCCCTCTTCCTGGCCCAGGGTCTGGAGCCCCCAGTGGGCTCGGCTTCTCAAGGGGGCAAGAAGGCCCGCTGCCCAGACCCGCCTGTGTGGCCCTGTGGTGCCCGGGGGGCTGTCTACTAGTTTCAAGTCCCCAGAGCCACAGCCCCACCTGCCCCATGAGCCACCAGCTGATCCTGGGGAGACTCGGTCCCTGAGGGAGATCAGTCCCAAAACTAAGACCCCGCAGCTCCTCCCAGGGGAGTGGGGGTGGGGGGCAGCAATCAGGGTGAGCATCCACTCCTGGACCCCCCCAGTCTTCTGCTCACCTTGCCCTGTACTTACATGTGCTGTCTCCCCTCAGGGTGCAGGCTGCACTGCCCTCGTGGTGGCGGTGGTGGCCCGGAAGCTGGAACTCACCAAAGCAGAGAAGCACGTTCACAACTTCATGATGGACACTCAGCTCACCAAACGGGTAAAACACCACTGTTTTAACGTGGGAGCAGATGACAAGGAAACAGCCCCCTGGTTCTCACTGGGGGCGGGAGGGGGGCCAAGGGAGCCCAGGCGCTTGTGAATGGCCTGCATCCAGGGGGCGCAATGTCTCCGCATCCTGGGCTCCCATCCTCTACCAAATCACCATGTGGTTCAGGCAACCAAATAATTTTCCTGATAATTGAATCAATAGCTTTGGGTGGTGTAACCCCACCCTCTCCCCTAAGGGCACTGAACCAATCACCCAGCGAGAGGCAGCGTTTTTGTTTAGGCTCAGACAACATTAGGAAGGGCAGTAGAGTCTTTTTTTTTTTTTAAGTTTGATTTAAGTCATCTCTGCACCCAATGTGGAACTTGAACTCACAACCCTGAGATTGAGAGTCGCTTGCTCTTCTAACAGAGCCAGCCAGGTGCCCCAGGAAGGCCAGTAGAGTCTTAAAAATGGTATTATGTCTAAATCCAATTCTTTTTAAAAAACCATTAAAGATGATCATCACAGCAGAGCCCACATTTTTAAATGATGTTCATCAAAGTGTCATCATCCAATCCCCCTTTGAGGCTTCCAGATAATGGTTCTCACTTGTGGTAAAGGAGGAGGAACAGTGGAGACGTGCTAGAATGGGGAAAGGGGTCAGCTGCTGGATGTCTGCCGTCCGCTGAACTGTCTGGGATGAAAAGGCTGCTGGAGAAGAGACAGAAACAGGTCCTTCCTGGGGTAGAGCCAGAAGAGCAGAGCAGGAGCTGCTCCTTAATGACTGGCTGTATGGAGAATGCTCTAGAGCTGCAAGCCAAACAAAGGTCAGCAAGAGGATTTCTTGCAAGACTCCTCTTTCTGAGAGGAGCATCAACCCTATGCTGGGGTCTGGGCTGCTGAGGCCAGTCTTCCTCATTTGGGACTGAAGTGTTCGGGGACTCACGAGCAACCAGATGCTGGTTTTTGAACACTGTAAAAAATATTCTGTGGTAACTGTTGCAGGAAAACTGTGTTGGCAACAGAGTCAGGGGCAGGAGGAGAGCCAGTGGCAGGCGGGCAGCCCGGGTGGCCAGCAGTTGCCGAGGCTCTGCGCTTCTCAGCAGAATTATTTATGGGGTTTGATTGTCTGGTCTTTGATTACACATATTGGATTCTTTGAAGAGGCTCCACAGACGTGAAAAGGAATGGGCCCAGGCAAATATCCTAGCCTCGCTGGTGTTCAGGAGGCTGGACATGGCACGTTGTGGCCCAGCTGTCTGCTGTCCAACAGACAGCGTCATTTAGCATCAAGGTGGCAGAACTGAGGCTGTTCCTGCAGCTTTCCGTGTGGGATTTACCCAGAACACTGTGACCCAACAGTTCCCATCAGCCCCCCGATATGCATGCAAGTCCAGCTCAGCACTGAGCAAATTATTAAAGTGGTGGGGACACCTGTGGGCACCAACACAGAGGTGAGGGCGCACGGCTCTGCCTTTAGCACCTTCCTGGAAGCTGCTTCCTTACAGCAGACACATGAACACTTGTTCGGCCCTGCTTTGTGAAACCAAGATATACTTTATATTTCATGCCATTCCCACGCTTCCTCCATTTTCCACCCATGAGTCAGATTGTAGAGGGAAACAAAGCCAAGGAAAGCCAATTCTCTTATAGGACAGGAAAATAAACAGTGTCTGTAGTCTGATTGTGGAAGGAGTGCACCCCGTGGTCACCAGTTTCCATCGTTCAAAAATAATCCTATAAATCCTGCTCAAGGCCACTTACTTTTTGAAAAGTAGGTCTGAAAACCAAATCAACAAATACCTTTGGCTCATCTGTGAGCGCCAGGTATCTTTTCAACTCATATATCTCACTTTTCTGAGAACACATAAATCTGCCAAAATGTCCCTTTAATGTCTTTTCCCCAAGACCAATGATGCAACGCGGCTTTTACAGAGTGAGGATTATCAAAGCTTCCAGAGGTTCTTCTCCAGAACCTTGGTTGGAAGGAAGGTGCTGGTGAATTCGTGAGCGCTGGGCTCAGCCCTCCTGAGGGAGTTGCTCCCTGGGGCCCACAGCTCTGTCCCCATCCCCTCCGTGCCTGGGGCCCAGCAGTGGTGAGCACAGCCTCTTGTGACAGCTTAGTGAAGCACCAGAGAAAGACCCTGTCACGCAGGAACTCACTGTGGCATCGTCGCCAACCTCTCAGGAGCTGACATTAGTGTATCTCAAGAGAAAAGCATTCTGTTAGGACAAATTTTGCAAACTTAATTCTTTAAACACCTAAGCAAAGAGAGAGAGAGAGAAGGATTGTAATCATTCATCATAAAAACTCTCAGACTTCTGGTGTTCGTCTGTCCTGCTGGTCGGATGCTGCTGTAAAGGCTGCAGCCCTGCTTTGGCCGTTAGAGTCACATGGGTTTGTGTGCTTCCTGTGTGAGCAGAGAGGGGCTGGTGTTGCAGGGCAGGGACTCAGTTTCTGGTTTTCCTGGGTCCACAGCTTTCCTTCTGTTCCTCGGTTGGCTTGTCAAGTCCAGGGCAATGTCTTCCTGCATTCGCAGCAGTCAGACAATCACCCAGGAGCTTTTACTCCAGAACGGTCCCCTTTGGCTGCCCGCTGGGCTGCAGAAGCCACACGCAGGAGCCATAAAAGAGATACTGGACCTTGTTTTTGCACCCACACGATGCCCCATGTCCCCATCCCTCTGTTTTATGTGACTAAACATACCCATCCCCAGATCACTGCTGGATGCCATGTTCTGCTCCAGGGACACCACGGTGGGTGCTGGTGGTTCCTGCCCTCTGAGAGCACCTCTTCTTTCCAGAAGGCAGGGCGGGATGCCCACAGACATGTGGCCCACAGAGCAGCACGGACAGGAGGGTTCTATTTCCTGGGTTGGCTCTCCATGTGGGACCTCAGGTGGCACCACATGCACCGCCAGCTGGGGGTCATGTCTTCTTATCATTGCCATAAGGGGTTCTTGCCCCAAATACTTTATCTGAGCACATTTCCCCACAAGGTCAATGAGTGAAACCAAAAGCAAACCCTGTCTTTCCTACCCCTGTTCCTTCCCTCTGACTTCCCTGGTCTCCAGGCTGGGAACTTACGGCCTTGGGGACTCTTGTGTGCTCTGGACCCACAGGGCCTGAGCAGCTCCCGAGTCTGTTCTCTGACCCTGCCCTGCCTGTCCCCGCACACCAGCTTCTCCGGGTCTCCGCTCACCACACTGAATGCCGTCACATGTCCTGTCATGGCCTCCTGACCCCAGTCTTCCTGTGCTTTGTTTCCTTCCTTGTGGGGCCCCTTAGGCTCCAAGACTTAGCTGTGAACATATCACCCACCACCCACTCACACCCTTACCCTTCCTTGGACCTACTGATCAGGGCTAAAGAAACCTTTTCTTTAATTTATGAGCATATATGAAAGTTTTATCAAATCCTGCTGGAAAAAAAACCTTTTCTTCCAGCAGCAAATTCAAGGATTTACTCATCACAGGTCTTAATCTCTTCAAAACTTACCCAGTAATCGATTGACCGGTTACCAAATACTAATCCTCCCCAGAGAGTGCCCATAAATGGTCTCGGTCACAGAGCTCTGGACAGATTGGGGACAGGTTCTCTTTAGTAAGAGTCCTACAAACACTGAGCTTCTGAGCTGGAGGGAAATCTCAGGGACGGGTCTCAGATCCAGAGACGGGCAAGTGTGGGTGTGCAGCAGCACACTGTGTCCAAGCTTGGGTGGCTGCACATTCTCAGGCCTGCATATGGCCCAGCCACAACCCTGAGGGTTTCCTAGAGTGATCAGCTCCTGAGAACTGGGCATGGTGGTGAGGGTCCCAGGCCTGCGTGTGGGAAAGCCAGTCTGCCTCCACACCAGCTGGATATCATGTGGATGGCCCCGGACAACTGAGTACCACCCTTCACCAGGTTGCACGGGGCAAGGAGCTGTAAACGCCAGAGACCACCCCCAGAAACCCACCCTGCCTCAGGGCCCGGCCCAGGCTCCTGCTGGCCATGGGGCAGAAGCCAGTTCCAAGCACTGAGGTGGCTTCCAAGTGCAGGCACAGAAAGCTGAGTGGGGCGTGGACAGGACTGCACTGGACAGAGAGAGGAAAGGAAGCCAGCAGGAAGCCTGTGGGTTGGGGTGAGGGGGCAGTGGAGCTGGCAGGGAATACAGAGGCCCCTCCCAGTTCTATCCCTAACAGACTCCAGACAGGACGGACCCACAGGGTTTTGGACCGTGATGCTCACCAGCCCTTGGCTCCTCTAGATCCAAGTTGGGAGGCTCCTGGGACTTATTCCTGTCACAGCCACTCCCCAGGCCTGCTCTGTGTCCTCTCCCGTCCCCTTCCCAGGGAGCTTTCTGGCAGCTACTGGGGATACTGGTGACTTCTTCCCTGGAGGGTCGCCAGGGGGCTCCCTGAGGCTTCACAAGGGGGCACGAGGGGGAACAGGGCAGGCTCCTGTTGTAGGCTGTCCCATGTCCTCCTGCAGCTGACCGCCCTTGGCAATACTGGGCAGGAGCTCACACTGGCAGAGGGATGGCCAGAGCAGGCTACAGCATGGTGACTGAGTCAGGAGCTCCGGTGACAGACAAGTGTGTTCTGTGCTGTTTTCTTTGAAGGGAGCAGGGGACACTCACATGCAGCCAGGGACACCCATGGAGCGGCCGTGAGGTACAGGGCCCGTGGGCAGGCTCTGTGCCAAAGAGGAGATAACAATTCCACCCCTTTTGTGCGGCTTCTCTGAGGGCTAATGAGACTGTAAACACGGAGCCCAGCACATTGTAGCCCCTCAGCAGGTGTCAGCTGCCACAGCTGCTACCTGCCAGACAGAGATGGAGGTTGGGCCGCTTCCTTGCCCAGGACCTGGGAACCTCAGAGCAGCTCCTAAAGTGTGAGGGTCACCGAGCCCATTCTCTGGCCCCTGCCAGGCTGGAAGTACACAGGTTTAGGGTAGAGAACATGGGGACCCTGGCAACCCATCAGCTGTGTGCACGTCTGCTTGGGGAACAGAAGAGCAGACAGGACCGTGTGAAGAGTCCTCAGGCACCTGAGCCCTCCTGCCCACCCCACCGTCTCAGGAGCTCAGTGAACCCCAGGAGGGGTACGTGACCTCACCCGCTCCCACCTGGACTGTGGTCAAAGCCCTCAGCTTTGACCAGAGGGAGCCCTGGTTGCAGCATGTGCTGTCAGCATCAGAGGGCATAGTGCGGCTATAGGGCTGTTTCCTTTCCTCCTGCGGACACTGATTCACTTAGCTTTGTGCCAGGCAGTTAGCTGTCAGTCCCGAAGCGGCACCAAGCCTCGTGCCTTCCGGAAGACACGGGCCTCCTGCCCAAACCCACAAAGTCTCTGCGGCTACCCGTCTGTGCCGTGACTTCCCAGCCTCCCACTTGGGCTGAGGGCGCCATGGGGCCTGGACTCCTTGCCTCCGTTATGTGGCCAAGTGTGGGCCCTGATGAGTGAAAACGAATTGCGAATGTTTTTCCAATTCCTTGACCCTTGATCCTGGGAAACAGAAAACAGTATTTGTGTGGAGATGAAGCCTAGTCAGGAGGAGCTGCAGACCACACGGAAACCGTATGTTCTTCTTGGCCCCGGCTCCCGTTCGGACTTTGCCCTCAGCCAGCTGTGGGACTCTGGCGCTCACGACCTGTCCTGGACACCGTGTCCTCCTATTTTACACAGGGGTCTGGACTGTGTGATGGGAATTCGTGTGTGTGTGCATGGTTTATGGAGCACGGAAATCCCCTTTGGCTCAGTTTACCGTTCGTAATGTCACAGTGTCACTCTGTGTCTCGGTTTGTTCGTCTGTAAAATGGGGATCATCCTAGCTGCTGCCTGGTGAGTTTATGGGGAGGAGGACCTGAGAGGCGCGGGAGGAACCCAGATCGTGGCCGGCACACCATCCGCATCAGGGATCTCCTCCTTCACGCCTCCGGACAACAACTGTAGGGGATGGATTTCTCTCTCTCTCTTGATAACTATGCATTTATCCCTAACCTGCTCAGTAACTGCAATAATGAGCATGACCTGCAGGCTTTCCAGTGTCACCCATTTGCTACCCACCAGCACCACCTTGCGCAGCTCTGCCAACCTCCGGAGCAGACATGTGGGCAGCGGGGGCTCTGTGGGCAGCGGGGGCTCTGCCAATCGTCCTAAAAGCTGAGAGGGGTTTTCTTCCATTTTTCTGTGAGGCCGTCCTTGCAGGCTAAGCACCCGGGAAAACCAAAGAGTTCCCACCTCAGGGGACGTGGGCAGAGAGAGTGGGGCAGTGAGGGGCCGTCCTGAGCGTCCCTTGTCTGGGAGGCTCCTGTCCAGTCTGGCTGTGGTCAGACCCCACCTGCCCCGCCTCCGCTGCTCACCTGGACCCACCACGGCTTCCTGCCGGGTGAGGAAGCACCAGAAGTGAGCCATTAAGGGATCGAAAACCATTTTCACAGCGGATTTTTACTGAACAAAAAAAGCAGTGTTTATGTCACTTAGACATTTCTGAGAAGACTTAGCTGGCTGTTCTTTTAAAAACATCACTTCAGCGCCAGTGAAAAATATAATCCAGCCTTGGTAATAAATTTTTAAAACACACACACACAAAAGTTATCAGCCTGTGAAACAATGCTTCCTAGCTTCCCACACGCCTCCGCATTTTAACAATGTCCCATCTGTGATGTCAGCCTGACGAAGTGGGCCTGTACTCCCCAGTTTCACTAAAATCTTTTCTGGCTAGGAACCCGGTCTCTCCTGGGCTGTCCCACGGACACCAGGCCCTGGGCCTGTGGGCCTGTGCCAGTTTGCATGGCGTGCAGAAACGGGAACAGTTCATCAAAAATCTGTTCGGCTTGTGCTTAATAAGAAACGTTTCCTCTGGCTCTTGTTACTAATTGCCAAAGACGTCTGTGTTTGGATTAAAACTCTGTCCTGTGCCATCTGGATGCCATCGATACGGCCCCGCTCAGCCGGGAGCCCGTGAGCTCAGCGGTTTCCATGTCGACGGCAGTTAGCGTCACATGGCATAGAGCGTGGTGGCTGCGCACACAGAGGCGCCAGCCTTGGCGAGGACACAGCTTTGGCTTCACACCTAAGTATCTTCACTGATTTTCAGACACTGCTTTGAAATAATTTCAGTTTTAAGCCAATTACATTTATGGGTAAAATTACAGTGTAAATGTTTTTGGCCATTTGGGAAAGGACATGATGGGCTGGCTGAGGCCTCTGAGCTCCGTTTGTGGGAAAGATGTGTCCTCAAAGAGGCCTTTGAAAATCTCCAGCTGATGGGAAATCTGTTTGGGCTCCAAATCCAAGCAAGGATCCAGGTGTGTAGTATGTGGCCGTGTCGGGTGAGTGCAGAAGAGTGCAGGTGCACGGGTGGCCTGGCCTCTGAGTCTAGGGCCACAGCTCATCTAGATCTAGCCCAGAAACGGCAGTCAAGGGGAGCGAAACCCTCAAGAAAGAAACAAGAGTAGCTCTCTGGTCTGGCCTGCTGCCGTGTGCAGAACGGGACTCAGAGGAGACAGGTCATAATCATCTAAGGGTTCATGCGTCAGCGGAGGACGCAGAACCATGTCCTTATAAGGCAGACGGTAGCAGCAAACTCGGAGACACGGTATGTGAAATAGAGAAAATGAGCCTGTTGGCAACTCACCGTATTTGTTCTTCCTCAGATCAAGAATGCAGCGGCCAATGTCCTGCGGGAAACGTGGCTCATCTACAAACACACAAAGCTGCTAAAGAAGATTGACCATGCCAAGGTTAGGAAGCACCAGAGAAAGTTCCTCCAGGCCATTCACCAGTGAGTACGCTGCGCATTCCCCTGCCAGGGCCCTGCACCTGCTCCAACGAACCACAGGGGGAAACCCACTGCTGACCCCCCAGCACTGGGGTGGGAACTGGGCCCATGTCACTCTGTTCCTCCCACTATTGCACCCACACTGGCCGGCACCATGCATGGGCTGTGGCAGGTGGAGGAGTAAGAGCCTCCAATATCTCCCATCACTCTGACACCTCCCTGTGTCACCATCACGATGACACCCCCCCATGTTCCCATCACACTGACACACCCCCCATCCCCATCACGCTGACACACCCCCGTGTCCCCATCACACTGACACACCCATGTCCCTATCACGCTGACACACACACACACACCCTGCATGAGTGAACTGCGGTCTGTTGTCTCCAGAAGACAGGGATGTAAAGTGCAGTAGCAGGGATGGGGTTTGGGAGGTGCTGGGGGTGGGAGGAGGGCCTTCCAGAGGCAGGGAGATGATCTGAGAGGAGGCGAGAGGCCAGAAGGCATGCTGCCTGGGGACAGGAGTTTGCTCTCCTGGGACCTGAGCTACACACCATCCTGGTCCATTGTCACAGGTGTGGAGGTCCCCAGTCTGGGGTTCCAAAATCAGGTGAACCAGTACAGCTGCAAATCCACATGCCGGGCTCCACTGTCCGCGCACGTGGAGCGTGGCTGTCACAACTCTTTCCCACAGACTGAGGAGCGTCAAGATGGAGCAGAGGAAGCTGAGTGATCAAGCCAACACCCTGGTGGACCTTTCCAAGGTGAGTGGCGGAGGCTGAGGGGTTCTCAGATGTGGCTGTGGGGACCTGGCCATCCCAGCTCCGTGGTACAGGCCCAGGAAAGCGAGGCCCAGGCCCCCTTGAGTGAATCCCTGATGGGAAACCTGCTGTGTGGCCTTAGTGCGGGCGATTCCTGAGCCTACAGATCTCTGCAGCGTGCTGCTCATGCTGCTTGGCGGAGTGAGGCCCAAGAATGAGCTGAAGCTGTGCAAGGAGCACCCACAGGGCTCCTAGGGATGGCAGTGGCCAGGCTGCCTGGTCACATGATTGTGACTGGAAGCTCGGTTTCTTGCCTCCTCCAATCCTTACACATCAGCTTTTCTGGCCCCAAATCAGTGGTGGGGGCAGGAAGTGCATTTCCAGGCACCAGGCAGTTCATGGTGATGAGTGTGAAGGTACCAAAAAAGAGAACCCTCCCCAGGACGTGACTGCCATAGGGCCATTCCGCATTTCTGACACTGACCTGCCATAAGTACCGAAGAGAAACTTGGGGCTCCTACTGTGAACCCTAGAACTGAAGGACTGAAGGCCACGCCACTGGCAGAGCTGCGGCTGCTCCTCCCATCCTCAGCCCCTCAGGCCTCTTGGTAAAGATTGCACATCAAATGTTCAGCCCAGGGCCAGGCTGGCAGGACATTCCAACAGATGTCGATTATCATAATGGAACTCGTTCGTTCCCTGGGTGAGCAAGAGAAAGTCCCTCAGGCAGATTAGCACCCTTTGAAAAGAGGTGCAATCAGAGAAATTGCGGGTTTTTGGCCTCGTGCAGGTGCCTGGTTCAACAAAGGATCAGGCCAGAGAGGGGCCTCCCAAGCTCAGGGACTTGTGCTGGCAGCAGCAGGGGGTGGGGTGGGAGGGGGGAGCAGGGGCACGGGGCTGAGGCGGAGCCAGAGCCCCAGAGCACGGGAGGGAACCCCCAGGGTGTGGTGTTAACATCCTCAGGTAGTGGAAAGTACTAAAAGGTTTACAAATGGAGGCGTTGATCAGCAGGACAGAAGGAAGCCTCGCTCCAGGCAGAACACAGCCAGACTCCACGGAGAGGCCACAAGAACTGGGCGCCGGTGGCCCCCATGCCAGAGGGGTCCCCTCACCTCTCTGTGCTGTGCAGGGGCCTGAAGCACCCGCCCACATCCCACCCCCACTCCACGGTGGCTTCTAAGCTCCTGTCTCCCTGGCGGCCCCATACAGAGACTGCGCGTTGTTGCTCTGGCCACAGGCAAGCATGAATTGGCCTCTGGTGGTCTGAATTCTCAATTCTCTGAGATGAGGTGACCGGTCAGTCTGGTCCCCATAAGTCTGCGCTCTGATGGCTCAGCTGTGGCCGGGAAGGGGGTGGTGCCGGGCCCGCCTGCCCATGTAGGAATGGGCTGGCACCGCACCCCAAGAGTTTCTCTTACAGTAGCAAGCTTTCCCACCTCCCCTCTCACCTGGCAGGACACCCTGTGGCTGATGTCCTCTGGGAACATCAGGCACACGGACTTTCAAGCCTGGGCTGGTTCAGTACCACCCACAGCGTCTCACAGACTTGGGGCCCAGGGAGAAGCAGGCTGGCTGAGGGTCCACATCACTGAGTCACGTGGGGAACTAAACCCCACCAGTAATGGCAGCAGGCTGCCTGGCAGGAAAGGTGTGCAGGGAAGGGCTAAGGGGGCCTCTTCAGGGCTGCCGTGGGGACAGGTGCGAGCCCAGAAGAGGGGGACTTTGGAGTCCACCTGCTCTTCCCTCCCAGAGACTCGTCTAAGTCCTGCCCCCTGCCCCGCCATGCCTTGTCAGCAAGCACAGGGCAGGGGACCCAATACTGACTCCATACAGCCCTCCAAACCTGCCACCTGCCCACCCCTGCTCTCTGGTCCTTGCTAGATTAAGAAAATGGCATGTGGCCTCCAATATTATTTGCTAGATTAAATGGCTATCCCACAGGGTGGCCTCGCTGGGAGGACCTGGGTCTTATTTGCTAGCTTCAATTCCTTTAATTGAAATGTAAAAATAATTCCTAATATCTGAGACTCTAAGTGATAAGATGGTGTCTGTGAAAATGCTTTGTAAACTATATGGAGACTTTGCAAATGGTGGTTCTCATTATGAATGTAGATGAGGAAGCCAAGATCTAGAGGAATGAAGTGGCCACCCTAAGGTTGGGCAGCTGACCAGTGGCCACACAGGGACCCAGGTCAAGGGGCCTAGGTTCAGTCCATAGCTCATAGGGCCCTACAAGCTCATCAATGTGTAGTCTGGACATTCCAGGGACAGTGGCCACCTTGATGAGGTTCTGGATTGTTAATTAGCGAAGGTAGCACGATCACTTCCAAAGTCTAGTCCTGGGAACGTTGGGGTGTCGGGGGTATCCTGCACTCCCAGGCAGAGCTGCCTTCATCCTGCCTCTGCAGTGGCTCCTTGGGGGCCCATCGTCGGCCCCCTTCCCACCTCCACTCTGGCCCTCACACTTTGCCACCTTCCTTTACTCTGCTTTTCCGTCTCTTCTTGGTCCCTGCTCCCATGGGTGCCAGGGGTTTCTGCATCTTGCTGGCATAACTCAGACTTTCAGGCAAACAGGGTCAGGATGCTATGGGCAGATGACCAGAAGCTCCAAGGGCCTCATTACCTGGGAGGGGGTAGAGGGGGCATGCAGGGCTCACATGGCTCTCGTTCCCAAGGCTGCTGTCACCTGTTAACGTACAGAGGAGGGTAGCTGTCGCATAGATGAGCACTCTCCAGGCCAACTCGGGAAGCCAGATTATATCCAGAAAGTGTCCTGATAAGAGAGAAGTCAGAGCCATGGACAAGATTGGGAGTGCACCTGTGGAAGGGGCTCAGTGGGGCTTTGTGCTGAGGTCATGGGGGGCTCTCAGCCTGTGGTCCGGTGGCCAGAGGGAATGGTGCCCTGGCCTGAGCCCCTCTGTTAACTTTGCTCTGATCTAATTTGATGACTTAACTCTCAGAAGGCAAGTTTACTGGATACTTTTAAGTTTCATTTGATTGTCAGGTCTCCGGAGGCCTCCCTGATTGCGCCCCAGCCCCAGGCACCCCTGGGCTATACTTTCCTTCAGACACAGGGCCTTGTTGGTAAACAGGGAGAAACCTTCTAGGCACCTGGAATAACTTGTGGTGTGAAAGGTCTCTCCCCATCAGTGGATTCCTCCCTGGGGCAGAGGATGGAGGGGACCTGTGCAAGCCTCACTCACCCATCGTCCAGCCAATAGCTTTCAGGGACAGTCATGTGACAAACCCTCTGTGAGGCGGATTTGTGTCCATTCATTAGTTGAGCATCTCCTATGTGCCAGGTGCTGTTTTAAGCCCTAGAGACACACCCATGAGCACAGGCAAAGGCCCCTGCCTGGACAGCATCCCTCCCTGTGGGTGGTGGAGGATGGTGATACCCAGGTGGAGCAGTTAGCTAGCACAGCAGAAGGTGGTATAACGGAGGAGAGGTAAGCAGGGAAGCAGGATGAGGAGCAGGGGTGGGGATGGAGTACAGTGTTAATCAGGGCACGGGAGACAGGGCAGGTGGCCAGGATTCAGGGAGACAGCATGAGGTGGGAGGTTTACGGAATTGGGGGCAGCATCTGAGAGTGAAGGTGGCAGGACATGGTGGGAGGGGGCTTAGAACTACCACAGTAGGACAGCCCCCTCCCACCTTAGCCAGCCCACGGGAGCTCTGTAGGTGGACTGGGCCTGTGGGGATGGCCCAGTGGGGCAGTGTCTCTCCTTACCAACCAGGCAGGAGAGGGGCTGTGACCCCACAAGGCCACTCCGAGGGGCTGCAGACCAAGGTGAGCAGGGGTGTCTGGCGTCTCTTCCGGCCACTGTGCTAAGAGCAGCCCAGGGGCAATAATGTCATGACCGTGGGTGGTTATTATTAACCCGTTTTGTAAGGAAACTGCGTTTTAGACTCGAACTTGAACCACGGCTGGCCCCCCAAGTCCCTGGCCCCATCCACTCCCCAGCATGGTGCCTTTTTGTCAACGAGCGGGTTTGTACAGCCTCTGAGCCGAGAGGTTGGGCTGTCAAGGACGCCAGGAGGGCCGAGACTCACCCATCTAAGAAGTAATACTGCTTATGCATGTTTTCTGATGGGTCACTACCACCCCTATGTACCCCGCACCTCCGGGTCTTCTCCTGGGTCGGCCAGGCTGGACACTCTGGTGTGGATGCTGTCCCTTTGTGATTTGGGAGCACTTTGTTTCTCCAGCCACCGGTCCCCATGTGATGACCCGTAGTATACTGTCCCCATCTCCCCCTACAGATGCAGAATGTCATGTATGACCTGATCTCAGAGCTCAACGACCGGAGTGAAGACCTGGAGAAACAGATCGGCAGCCTGGAGTCCAAGCTGGAGCACCTCGCGGCCGGCTTCAGTTCCTTGCCACTCCTCATTGCCGACGCCCTGCGCCAGCAGCAGCAGCTCCTGTCTGCCATTGCCGAGGCCAGGGGCGGCGCAGCGGGCACCACCCACACACCCCCGGCCTCTGACAGCCCCCTCGGGGTCAGCTCCACCTCCTTCCCTACCCCATACACAAGTTCAAGCAGTTGCTAAATAAACCCCCCACTCCAGAAGCATTACCCATAGGTCTTAAGATGCAAATCAACTCTCTCCTGGTCACTTTGCCATCAAGGAACAATCAGACCAGGGAACCTAAAGAGGAGAGACCAAGCTAATTAACTAACTCGAGTTCATTCAGCGTGCTTGGTTCGATATGCCTTGAAACCAGAAATCTAATCTCTGTTTAGGTGCCTCTACTTGGGAGCAGGAAGAGGAGGTGACAGGAAGCGGTGCCTCTGGCAGGGCCGTGGCTGCAGAACTGGTGCAGAACAGAAATCCACGTCAATCTCAGGTCTCGCGTCGGGGGTGGGGGGGGTGGGGGCACCGAAGCCGCCGATGGAGAAGCAGCCCAGAAGCGGGTACCCCTGGGCGGGGGGGTGTCAGGCTTAGACATGGGCTCCTCACCACTGGGGTCCCATGGACTCCCTCTCCCTGCCATTTGTCTTGGGAAGCCTCCGGAAGACAAAAGGCAGGGAGAGCTACACAGCCGCCAGAACTGACATTCTTTCCTCCCAGACCTTTACCAGTCATAAAACCCAATCCAGACTAAAAACAAAAAAGACAAATAAAAAGCCAGATTTTCTATCCAATATTGACATCCATATAAAGCTGTGTGTCTGCAGGTATGTGCACATGCATACTCATCTCCCACGTTCATCCCAGGTCTTTCCTTGCTTGAACTTGACCCGAATAAAAGGGACCTGGTTCCTCACCTGCACGCAGTGGGCACTCCATGCATGTGCATTGGTTCAAATGTGAAGGTGGGTGCTTTCAGCTCAGGTAGTTTGCTGGTGTTGGGCACGTTCTGAGCTTCGCCAAAGGCGCGGGTCCCTTCAGACAGGACACAGCACCCCTGCTTGCTTTGAGATGGACGCCAGGCCACTTGCTGGCATTCTGGAGGGGCACGCAGCCTTCTGAAAGTTGTGGCCTGCACAGAAATTCCTTCTTACCTGCAAACTGGCTGTGTTCTGGTGGAGCACGGGAACTGTGCACATGTGCAAGGGTAGGCGATGTGCAGGCACAGCCCAGGGGTGCCCCAGGGAGGAGGGGTGCTGTCTGGGGATTCGCTTAGCTGTGTGCATCCAGAACAGCCTTCCAGCCTGGGTGTTAGGAGCGCAAAGGGGTCCAGGGCCTCACCTGGACTGCAACAGGTGGTGGTAAGTGGCCCGTGTGGCCCCTTCTACCTGAGGTGAAACCACCTCAGAATGAAAGATTCTGAGGCTAAAGGATCCCCTAGGGAGCCTTGTAGGTGAGATGACAGATCTGTCAGTAGCCTGTTCCTCTTGTGCCATGTTAATCTTGGTGCCAAAACTGTTCAAATACGTCTCAAACTCCAAGAAACTTGAGAAACATCCTGACCCAGTGTGGCAGCCGGGATCATGAGGTGAGGCACGTGGATGCCATCTTTCATTGCTCTGTGTCTGACCACATACCACACTCATCTGTGAAGTGACCAGGCCATTGTGTCTCCACCACTCTCCTCATCATGAGGTCTTTGACTTCAGCTCGTGGGGAGCTAAACCATACTGTACAGAGTGTCTCATCTGTCGAGGGTAAGGCAACAGGGCAATACTTGCGAAGGGCTGTTCTGCTAGGCTTCCCTTTGCACAGGACATTGTCACTTGTCTGAGGCCAGTGTCCAGGTGAGCTGGGTCTTCTAGGGGCAAAGGGGTCACTAGACTGCAAAAGGTAGATGACCTTGGAGTGTAGTACTCTTTCCAGAAGATCGGGTCTCTTGCTAAACTTCCTCTTTTGTCTCTTCTTACTGCTGTTCCCCCCTAAACAGTCTTGTTTTCATCTTGGTAACAACCCCTTGAACATCTCCATTGGTGGTTTACACACCACAGACGCCACACTTGATGCTGGCTTTTTTTTTTTTTTTCTTATTCTTTTGACTGTTGATCCTCTGAAAGTTCACCTTCCTTTCTTATGTCCCAAGAATGGTGCTCCTGTTGCCGTGACAGTGTGGCTGCACTGATAAACAGATGTCTACACAGATGAAATTCCGTGCAGTGTCTTTGTGGCATGAATTCCATCTCACAAGTGGGGACCACAGACAGGTCACCCTGCGTGTGCCGATCCTGTTCGCTGACCCATAGCCCTCACCTGTCACCTGTTCACCCTCTCCATTCCACGCACACACGTACAGGGACTTAGTCTTAATTTCAAATAAATGATACACAAGACTGCATTGCCACCCCCCTGTGCAGACGGTCAACCTGTCAAGGTCTGTGGATAATGCTGTGCACCTAAGTGACCCCTGAAGAACAAGCAGATAACCTTGGGAGGGGGCTGGAGTTACCTCCAGCAGCAGCAGCCACTGGCACCCCAGAAACACGCGGGCACTGGTGGCATGACCCAACCTACTGGTAGTGCAATAGCTGTGTGTGGTTTCTTTCCTTGGTGAAAGAATACTTAATCCTCAAAAACAGGTGATCAAACCTGCTTACTGACTTGCAATGGTAAAGGGGAGGCTGCTTCTCTGTACCATGTTTCAGCTTCATGTGGGAAGTTACCCATTCTCCTGTGAACACATTCAACCCTGATGATCCCAGGATGGATCACCAAAGTGCAGGTCCCTCCAGGTTTCCTCTCTGCAGCCCATCTTTTGGCTAATTCCTCAGTGCCTCAGCATCACAGTCAGACAGGAAAGGTGCAGGTTGACTGTCATGCCAGGCCTTCTTCTTCCTTATTCTCGTTTGGTGGTGGAGGAGGTTTAATTAGCTTCTCGAGAATTGGCTCTATGTAAACATGATTCATCACAATAACTTAGCTCTAGTGCTGAACTCATTGCATTCTGCTCACTCCTGGAAGGCGGACCCAGCATCAGAACCCTACTGTCACTTGTCTGATGACTTAGTGACAGGTGAAATACCACAATAGTCCCCCAAAATATCTAGACACTTGAATCAAAACTACAGAGCCACCCCTCATCACATAAGCCATATTCTAGCCTCATGTACTGTAAAGTCAGGGAGGTACTGTGATACTTTAAGACCACTGGTGTCAGTGGAATTTCAGGACATAGCACCAGGTGGTAAATCATGCCAGTCTAGGGGCTCGCTCCTCCTCAGGCTGAAGTCCAAATATCAATCTGTACCTTTGGATCAAAGGACACATGTGCCTGCTCATCATCAATAAACTGCCATAAAGTGTCTGAACTGCTCTTGCCCTGCTTGTAATACGCAGCTTCATGACATCATATCTCTAAAAATGTTAATGCAATGCAAGGGAACAAGAGAGGTTAGGCCCTGGGGCACCTTGGGCTTCTGGCCTCGGTGAGTGCCAGTGGCACAGCGGCAAACTCTGAGAATGAGGCGTCAGCAAAGTCCCAGTGGGCATGCATAGGTCTCCTTGCTTATTAAAGGCTGAGAAGAAGCAGCATCAAAGAAATCATTATTTCAATACATTTGAGGACCTCCCCCTTATATTCCTAGTGATTTCTGTGTGAGTAAAGGAAGGAAAAAGGAAGAAAGCTAGAAATACAGAATCGGAGTAAATAAGCTCTAATGCTGGACCCACATCTTTGGCCAATTAGTGTAACCACCTCATCCCTCGGTTTCCATGTGGTGTGAATGAAGATGATAGTTAACATCCTTCAAAACAAAGTACTCAGTAGGTTTTACGTGGAGTCACAATCGTCTTCAACAGCAGCCAGACTGCGTTCCCGTCCAGCCCACACTCAGGTGTGGCATCTGAATGTCCTCAAGGGTTAGTGGAAGTGACTATGACGTGTCAACTGTGTAGGGAGGAATATGAGACCAGCACACGGGCTCTCTCTCCTCCCTTACAGTGTCCCCTCCACCATCCATGCACCTCAAATTAGGAATCAGCGTTTCATCCCAGAATGAATGTGTGGCTCTCACAGTACCACAGCATATACACTAGGAAGTCATCGCACTACCAGTAGGTTCTACACTAAGTTACTGGCTTTTAAATCCTAAAATGTGTCCCCAGTTCCACACAGCCATGCTACTTCCCTGAAAGTTGCTTCAAAGCAGAGTAAGGATCTGCTAGTCGTCATGCTGCCTGTATGAACTTGGCAGCACTGGGTTTCAGTACGTAGACTGCTGTCCTGGGGTCTCCTGGTTGGTGTGGGTCAACCCCCCCCATAGTGACCACGCCCTGGACACTGTCCCTACACTGTCCCTTCCTTCTCTGCTGCCACCAAAGTAAGCATGGAATGGGAATGGGGCCATTGATGCCACCAAAAAGGGATGTCCCAGGGACTGCGGCATGAACTGCCTGTTCCTGGTAGTTGAATATAGATGGGTGCCTGTCATCCTGAAAGCTTGTGCTAGGCTGCATAAGTAGAGGTTAACATTAAACTCCTGTCAGATGAGTAATGCGTAGATTTTGTACTGAAATAGATGGAAACTTTTTAAGAAGCACTCGGTGCAGTGGTGTATGAACAGACAGAGAAAACCAGTAGCTGTGACCTGCTTTCCTTACACCATTACTGGAAACACCCAAACATCAACTGGAGTTCCTTCTGAACAAAACCATTATCAAAGCTTCAACATGTGACCTCCAAATCTAGGTGCCAAGTGCCGTGCGACAGTTGTTTACACACCTGAGAAGCAGGCTCAGGAAGCTATATCTTGGGCCTGGACCATGTGTTGAAACAAAAGAAATGTGCCCAGCGAAGCTGTTGGAGGAAAAGCACAAAATTCAACACCAACCTGTAGTTAGGATCCCAAAGAAATGCTGAATTTATAGCCAAAAACAAAAATCAGTGACTAATCAAACATGAATCTGACTGGAACAGCCAACATCCAGGTTCCCAGAGGAAGGAGAGGGAATAAATGACATTCTCTAGCTGTGTCCCATGGTCTCAACCAGGACCAATCCACCTTCGTCAGACATTTTAATGGCGCAACAACTCACTTTGGTCCCGGACTCCGTGGCCCGCGCTGAGCAGAAGAGAAGAGGAGAGAGCACATTTTCATTGGTGAACTCGGAAACAAGTGTTTGTGTTCAGAATCATGTGAGCTTCAATAGGAATTTGCATCTTGCCTCTGTACTGCTTGCTATTTTTTAATGATAGGAGAAAGCATAACAGTTTATTTTAAATATGAAATATATTGCTATATTATAAAATATATTGTAACTTTGAACTAACATTTTGTATCACACTAGTGTTTGGCAGGCCCAGTGTCAGCCTGCTCTCCCAACGACTGTTTCTGAGTACACATCACCCAGACTGAGGGGCTTAGCCTCGGGAACTGCCGTCTTGTAAATCCCTAAGACCTGCCCATTAGAGACAAGAATAATGTTCCAGGCTTAGAAGAATAACTCTACCCAAAGCTCTATCAAGCCATTTCAGATGAGATTCTAAAAGCCATGACTCCCTTAGTAGCTGTGCAGAGCCAGTTTCATGATGGGCAGGTTCTCCCCATGTAAATGCAAAGTCTCAATATGAAAGTGATAGGAGTCTCAAGCTGAGCCACTGGCTCTTCCTTTGGGAATGTCAGAATTGGGCGTAAGGGAGAGTTCTCCTGTGACATGAAAGACTCAAAATTCTAGGCGCTGTGAGTGTGTGTATCTAAGCCAGAGTCAAGCCACTGGGAGCTTCACTTACACAGGCTCAGGGAGACCCCGATAGGATGTGCAGATGTGCGGAGGAGCTCCTCTGAGCCCTCAGGACCCTGCATTTATTCACAGCTCCAGGGGGAGTAAGGGAGGAAGCAGGACACGCACAGCAATACCTGGCAAAGTGCCGGGCTTCCCTTTCTGCTCCTTTAATTCAGCCCTTTAGTGGCAGGAAAGGAGCTTCAAAGGAGGTGTTGTCTTCATTGGCAGAATTGGGGAAATTCTCTACTCGAGCAACTCCTGAACTCCATTCCCTTCCTTGTCTGAGTCGTAATTGAGACTCATGTAGAATTTCTCACTTCCATCCTCTGAGTGATGGAGGGACTATTTCTAGGTGAAAACAGGATGTGTTTAGTTATAGAACAAAGGTTTTCCAGAATCAGTGGGGCCCTCTTGTTTGTTAGCATCACCCTGGGCTGACACTGCACCCATGGAAACCAAGCAGCATCGGGGCACCTGAGCTCCTGTCTTTTCCCTTCTCAACCTAAAAATTTACACAGAGTGCAAGACAACAGGTTTTTTCCTGGGGAAAAGCTGGTACTGGTAACCTGAAAGAAAAAGATGCCAACGCCCGCTCCAAGCTGCTTGTGTGGCTGAGAGCTCACTTGCACACACAGCTTATTTTTATTGAACAAACTGCTCACAGTGTCTGCTACACCCCCAATTACATGTAAGGGTGGGTTCCACTAAGGCTATCAGAATTCCAGGGCACCTGCTTTTAGCAGGTTACTCACTTGCTGGCTAATGGAAATTAGTTTATTCTCAATTTTATATAACTGATGAATGTACTGGTGGTAATTGATTTGTCTTTTAATACTTTTCTGCTACTAAATAGAACTGTCTCTTTTGGCTTTTTCTTCTAGCACTCCTCAGACTCAGACTTTTACATTTATAGAGAGCAAATATATTCTGATTTTCCCCTCAAAGTTATTATTCAGTCTAGACCAAGAAAAACAATGCAAATTCCTGATTTGGGGAAAGCAGATCTCTTGACATTAATTCAGGTATATATGGCTGTACACTAATCCTTGCTACTAAAAGTGTGGTCCACAGACCAGCAGTGTCAGCATCACCTAAGAACTTAGAAATGCAGACTAGGGCCCCACGCCAGATCTGCTTAATCCAATTTGGCATTTTAACGAGATCCCTAAGTGATCTGTATACACATTAAATATTGAAAAGCTCTGGCTTCACCACACAGCAACAGTAACCAACACCATTAATAGCTAGAAAATTAAACCATTTGTTCTTTGACCCTCATTTACAGAATTACTTGATGAAGTAAAGTCCTGTACGATCATAAGGATAAAAACAGATGCATCTCACAGTTTCATTTGAGGTCATGTAATGTGGCTGGTGTACAAATAGGAGCAGCCTTTAAAAAAAAAAAAAGCTTGCTTTGTAACCCTGAGCCCCTTCAAAGTCCCTTTTTAGGTTTCTGGTTTTAGCCTGTGCTGGCAGGGCCATTGGAATATCAAGTGGCCCCCAGGGGAGGTCCCCCTGGAAGGGTACCCAGTCCCTGCTCAGCACAGTACAGAAATAGCTGCATCTGTGCTTCTTCCTTGAGAAATTCAGCAACCTACCAATGAGGACTCTCCTCCCCAGAGGAAACCTAGCAAGAGAAGTTAGTTTAACCTTCTAGAGACATTCCTAATCTCTTTTCAAGCCAGTTCTTTTAATCATTACCCCAACCAGAGATACTCTAAGGTGATCAAGGAAAAATGTGGATTATATTGGCACCACAAATCGATATGTACCCAGAAACAGTTATGTTCTAAATTAATGGCTTTAACCTGTTCATTGTAAAAAGTGCCTTGGACTTCGATCTAAAGAGGTCAGTATAAATATGTGTGTGTGTGACATATGTAGGCAAATATTTACATATTTATACATACATAGGTGCACACACATGTACCGCACATTCATATACAATATACACATACATATATAAACGCTTCATGATATGTCATATTGCTATTCTCAGTTCCATTTATTTTGTCTGGTCCTATGTTATTTGTTTAGTGACACCTTTACATAGAGAGGTTCTATTCAGGACATTGATGTATTTTTTTTTGTTTGTTTTTTACTTTTTATTAAAAAGGTAAAGGATATTAAAAAAAAAAAAGTCAAGTGCCTGAAGGTTTTGAATGGAATTGTGGTAAATTTTCTCAGGTCACCAAAAAGGAAACTGATCTTTCCTTTGGAAAATACTTTTCTGTTGCAGTGACTTTTGTTTTCCCTTGGTGGGAGTTGATAAATACCAACGGTTACAGTAATTTGGTAATTTTGTTGTGATTAACTTTGTGGTCTCCATAAAGCAACAGCAACAATTGCTCAGGCCAGCGCCCACTCTCCTTCACGCATTAGTGTCAGAAGGGATTGGTCTTTCTGTGCCGTGGACAGTGTGGGCATCGGGCCAACTAAATCACAGGGGTGGGGGTTCCAGCAGTTCTAAGTACTGGGTGCTTTCAGTGGCGCTCACAGAAGGACAGGTGGGAACTCCTTCCTGGACCAGGTGGGAACCTGTCCTAGAGGATGGCAGAAGGGCCCCGGGAAACTTTTGAGGCTCCTGCACCCTTTCTACAATAAAACAACCACCTGGACCAGTCAGGTTCTCTACCTTAGCCAAAGGTCTCATCTTTCTACAGTGTGACAGCTTGTAATGGACCAACTTCCCTGGTTAGAAGCCCCCAGGGATCCAAGGAGATTCACCAGGTTGTCATTGCTCTGCTCTTGTGCTAAAGGAGGGATTTTACTTCTTGAAGCCAAGAAATAGCTCTAACTCCCTGCCCAGGTGATAACAGCCTCATAACAGCCAGGGCCACTCCAGAGAGGTGATGTCCCCCTCATAGGGGCCAGAAAGACAAAATGTTTCTGCAGCTGCCCCTACAGATGCCCCCCCCAGATACCCCACAGCTGTCCTCACAGATGCCCTCCAGATATCCCCATAGCTGTCCCCACAGATGCCCCCACAGCTGCCCCACAGATGTCCCCACAGATATTCCCACAGATGCCCCATAGTTGCCCCACAGATGTACCTACAGATGCCCCCACAGCTGCGCCACAGATGTCCCTACAGATGCGTCCACAGCTGCACCAACCACAGATGCCCCCACAGCTGTTCCACAGCTGTCCTCACAGACGTCCCCACAGATTCCCCACAGCTGCCTCACAGATGCCCCCTCAATAGTTGGCACCCTGGAGGGGATGATAAATAGCACTCCCTGTGCTGTGCTGGGAGTCTGAGCTAAAGAAAACCAGCTGTGAGTTGCTGCTCTAAATCAGGGACCAACCATGACCACCCCCCGGAAGCTCTCAGCGCAGCAGGGAGAAGGGACACTTGGTGGCTGGGAGCCTCCCCTGGCCACTGTGGGTCCCACGTGGAGACCAGGCTGCGGTGTTCTGACGCTGGTTTGTGGATTCCGAGGCCCAGGTGGGAGTGCACCGGGGAGGCGGGCCTGGTCTCACTCCTTTCTGTCACACTGAGGTGGAGGAACAGGGCGTGGAAAGGTTCCAGAAGGCTGGGATGTGAGGGCACTAAACAAACACAAGGGAGCAGCCTCAATTCAACACCAAACGTGCTCACCACGGAGTTCCTCCAATTGTGTCTTCTTCCTGCCCTAGGACGGCAGTTGTGAAAACAGGGATTTTTAAAAGAGGAAATCTTTTTTTTTTTTAAGTTTTTTTTTTAATTTTTTATTTTATTATTTATGACAGTCAGAGAGAGAGAGAGAGAGGCAGAGACACAGGCAGAGGGAGAAGCAGGCTCCATGCACCGGGAGCCCGACGTGGGATTCGATCCCGGGTCTCCAGGATCGCGCCCTGGGCCAAAGGCAGGCGCCAAACCGCTGCGCCACCCAGGGATCCCGAAAAGAGGAAATCTTAATTTAGGTGGGAAACAGAGCCCCCTGGCAACACTGCCTCTGCAGGGCCAGGATTGCCCCAGTGTTGACAGAGACGGCCTGCCGGCGCGGACACCCCCAGCTCCACCGCCCTCCGACAGTGCCTGCACAGGCCCTGGGGCAGCAAGCCGGCCTGCGCTGTGTCTACACAGGGGACCCTGCAGGTCAGTGCCCCACTTGTTCCATGGACATGACAAAGCTTTTCAAACTTTGCTTCCCGCTGGGACCCACCCCTCCCAGAAGCTTCTGGAAACGCCAAGGTCAGTCAGTGCCCCCAACCCCTGGTGCTTCAGAAGCCCAGGGGTTCTGAGAGGCACCCAGAGTTGAGTACTGCCCCCAGGCCTGTGAATGAGAGCACCCAGCCTGGCCAGTGCCCCCTGGGATCTCTGCGCCCCGAGCTGGCGAAGAGGTCTGGGGGCAATCGATACAAAAAGGGGGGTTGCCTGCACCTCCTTCCTTCTCAGGTCCCTACGTGTGTCCCACGCAGAACCCACTGACTTCTTCTGCTGCTCCACATTCGGACTCTGCAACGCTGCCGGCTGCGTGTGGGCCTGTTTGCCCAGCCTCTGCTTCCTGTGGGCACACAGCCCACCCAGGCAAGCACAGAGTCTTTCCTGGACCTCTGCCCTGGGCAAGGATGGGGGTATCCCCTAATCCTTCTCATTAGGCAAAAAAGGGTTCGAATTCAAAGACACCTAGCTAGCAGGTGTCTCACTAAATCCAACACAAAAATAGGGTCACCTGCCTGCGACCCTCGTCGATCTCTTCCTGACTGCATTTAACTATTAAAGCATTGTCTCCTGTCTTAAAGGAAATTTGACGCATCATTACATCATACATCTCTGTGGAAGCTGGAAACTCAAAGCTGGGCCCAGTTCCCCAAACTAGAGGATTCCCCTAAATCCCGGACCCTCTGAGTAAGACTGCCCCCTGCTGGTCAGACAGCAACACGCGTCCCCTGGCTTGTCTGGGGAAAGGCTTCTTCAGATCCTACTGCCCTTACCTTACACACAGGAAGTGAAGACAAGTGATCCACCCCAAATCAGAGGATGAGGGCAGACACTGCACCGGAGGGTGGCCACGCCGTGGCAACAATGCTTCTGTGCCAGGTGGAGCACTCAGGCTGCCCAGCACTTCTCCAGTGTCATCTTGGCCTTACCTCAGCACCAGTATTGATTTTGCAAATGTCAGATAAAAATAAAAGGCCCCTGATTCCCCCCAGCACATGTTCACATCACACATAACCCCCCCCCACACACATCATCCATCTCCTAAAAACAAGGATATGCACATTGCACCTGGCTAAATTAGTTCATCATGTATTTTATGCTCCAGAAGCATTGATCGTTTTCAAATTTATCTGCCTTTCATTTAAAGAATTTAGAGCTAATACTTACAAATCTACAAGACCACCCTCTGGTTAGGAAACATTAAATGAGATTATTAAAATGATGCAATTCTATATCCTGCATTACAGTAGGTTATGCTAATGTGGTCCAGGTCATTAATCTTTATTTCAGCCAGTTCTACAAATAGAATATGAAGATTAGCCAGAATTAGCTTAATCTTTCTTTGTTTGTTTATAGCATGAATCTGAAATTTACACTTTATTTTTCCCAGGGACAAGTCATAACAAATGGCATTTCTTTTTTTTAAGTAGGCTCCATGCCCAGCGTGGAGCCTAGTATGGGGCTTAAACTCACAACCCTGAGATCAAGACCTGAGCTGAGATCCACAGTCCAACACTTAACCAACTGAGCCACCTGGGCGCTTCCTGCAACTCTTGATATGCAATTCTGTCCCCTGGGAAACCAAAGGTTGGAAACATGAACATATTATGTTACCACTGCTTATGGGCAATGTCATCTTAGATGAAGCTTCTTTCTGAAACTGTCTTGCCTCCTACTCTGCAACACTGGTGTATCTCTTAGAAGCCATCAAGTGTTTCTTGAGAAGGAATACATACAGCAGGTGGCACCCACACCTAAGCACTCATGGGGGGAAATCTCAGGTCCCCTGCAGCTCCTGTAAGCTCCAGTTCAATTGCTCTTTCTTCAAATACCCTACCCTCCTCACCTTCTATCTCTCAGAAGAAGGTAGATACATAATTTTGCCTGAACTTCAGAGTTTAGAAATCCTGTTGTATTTACACCTAGGATTTCTTAGAGAATTTTTTCTAAGAATGGCAATGCAATGTCACTTGACTCACAAGTTTGGAAAAATAGGCCCCTGTTTGGTTTTGGTTTAAATGAGAAAATAATCCTCTGGGATGGTGTGAGCAGGAGCAGGAGCTGACATCCTCAGTTCTCTCATCAGGAACATGATGAGGAAAAGCCATGAAGGACATTCACTTACTGCCTTCAGGCTACCCATTCCCCCGCCCCGCCCCCACCTCCACTATGCATTTGGGTGGGATTAATCCCAATTTCAGATCATGGTGGGCTTTGGCAGGCTCAGGTACACACTGCTAAGGGATGGGCAGTTAGCCCAAATCAGGCCAATGGATAAATGGATCCCAGAGCCAGGGCTCAGGGAGGAGTGACCAGAAAAGATAGTCTGGCCCAGGAACTGCTATGACCGTTTGTGTCATGAGGTGGGAGGTAGGGTTGACAGGGGGCCAATGTACAGAGCACAAGGATGCACCAAGGCTCCAGACGGCAGAGGTAGGGAGCAATGGGTACCTTGGAACCACTGACTGAATCTTCAAATCACCTGGGCTTTACAGCAAAGCCATTTGGAGGTGGATTTTTTTTCGCCACATCCAACATAACGAGTCCTGGTGGAGAAGAACCAACCTCCTGTGCTCATGTCTGATTTCCCAGAGCAACAATCGGGATGAGAATTAAAGAAAGATGCCTATTCTGCAGTTCCCGCATTTAAAACGCATGGGCGCCCAGCTGGCTCAGCCAGAGGCACTTGTGATGCTCTATCTTGGGGTCATGGGTTTGAGCCCCATGGTGGGCAAAGAGCTTACTTAAAACACAAAAAGTTTAAAACAAAAAAGTTAAATCAGATAACAAGAAAACTGGGGATGTCAAAACTGATTCTGGGGTGCCTCTTAACCAGCAAGGTGGACAGATGATGGAGGAAGGGGAGCCACAGAGGAGCTGGTGAAACAAACCCGCTGGAGTCCACAAGAGACCAAAGCAGGCAACAACAGACCATCACATCATGGCATGTCATATCACATCATGTCATGCCATGCCGTGGAGTGTCACATCACATCACATCATGCCA